TCCCAGTGAAGATGTTTTTGGCCTTGATCACCACACCCATCGATCCCTGGCTGATTCCCACTCAGATACGTCTTATTTTATTAGTGGCTTCGGCCTTCTGCCGCCCCATTCGGCTGTGATCAATACTAGCATGAGGATGGCCCTTATTTTTCACTTTTAGTGCCTTAACGCTGTTTAACCGTGTCACCTGATAAACGACAGGCCCTCCCCAAACACTGATTTCCTATCGATTTCTCCCTCATTCGGCCATCCCTTCCTTCGTCACTGTTCCATTGTTTTTTATCTCCAGTTATCGCTTCTCTCCTATCTCTATAACTTGACCCCCAACATCCACAAGAGATCTTGGTCATCTCTCACAGGGGATTGTGAAATACAGGTATATTCACCTCTTTACATGTACTGAGGAAGGGAGAGATACTTTAGTGTTACGGGAAGGACTCTGTTTTCTACTTTCCATCCACATCATCTACCGACTCGCCTGCACACGCGAGCTGGAGTGGGGATCAGTGTGCATGAGCGCATCCACTAAGCTGGATGCAGTGAGCACAATGCAACAGATGTTATGACAACCTGGAGGGAGACAGCTCCATCCATCATCCCCTGAAGTCCTGATGATCGAAGCAGGGTTCGGGAGGAGCAGGGATTGTGGAGAAAAAGGCTCTGGGGTAACTTACAATCCACTTACATGACTTCTATCGGGGCTATAATTATATAAACATCTAATGTGTGCGCAATATGGTGGCAACAGATGAACTGTAGAAATAGACGATGGCAATATGAAGTTAAATTCAATTTAAAAAAGGAATCGACGTGCTTTTTGACTGCACCGGTTTGAGTTCATCTCTTTTCTCAGACTAGACAGTACATTATTTATGCAAAATTAAACCTGCTCCTATTCCTGCTTAGCCTTGCTCATCCAATCAGTTACCACTTTATTGATCTCTCATCTAAAGCACTTCTGTAAATCCAGTCTGCTACCTTCCAGCCATAGAGCCAGGAGAGACGGGTTCCTTATCGCCAAATAGGTTATGATGCCGACTTCAATTTCTAATTCGCTAGATGATAACATTTTCTTATCGTTGTGAAGTGCTTGTTTTTATTTTCGCCCTGGCAAGTGCATAAACTTTGTAGTTTGAAAGTTTTTCATGAGCTTAAACTTCACACAGTTTTTGTGACACAGTCTTCAAAAGAAGAGGTGTGGAAATCTTCTTAACCAAATCTTGCAAGAAAACTTTTTTTTTTTTGGGAAATACACACACATGCAATATGCTGCTGAGTGTCCAGAAATACACATAAAAGGTGTGTTTATATGCAAAGGTTTACACTTTAATTTGGCCACACTGCAATCAACTATGGAAACTAAAATTTTCATGAAATAAACATCACTTAAAGAACAGTTTATGCAATTTCAATTGTTTAATAATAATCATTCTAAGTGTCCTCTATAACACAGCAGGTCGCAGTTTCAACTATAGCATATCCAGAATGTCCTCTATTAGTTCTTCCTTGTTTGTTTGTTCATGTAAAGTTTCTTTCAATTGCATCAAGGGGCTGAGCTCAAAATCAAACCAAAATCCCTTCATCTCCAAACATTGCTCTTACACAATGCAATTTGGCAAGTCCTCTTGATCTGACATCCACCAAACCTAGATTCATTAAAACATTTAGGAAAAAGTTGAGCGTATTCGAATGCGCATTGCATAAACGCACCTTTTATGTACATTTCTGTACAATGGTTAATTCATAATAATGAACACTTTTTGCCTGCAAATTTTAGAAGTCCAGATGTAATAATAATAGTAATAATAATAACAATAATAAATTATAATAAATCTTCTGTATTTGTTGGTTTGTTTAAGTCTTCTAAACTACACTGAACATCAGAACCGCAGTTCAGTGTACAAGAAAAGAAATAAGCAACACAGAATAATTCCCTCTTCAAAATACAATTCAGTTATTAATCAGTTAGAGAGTCTGGCAAGATGTTACCTCTTTGCATGTCATTTAAATAATTAACCATCGTCTTTTATGGAAGAAGCATGACCTAGCATCTTTTATTAGCCTCCGCCGTCCACTCTTTAACGGTGGGTTAAGTGATAAATTGACATTTACAGTGTGCCCTGCCAAGTTACACTGGGTACAGAGCACACTGAGAAACTGGCCGTGAAGCAATAACTGGGGAACAGGCAAGAGATTTTCTATTAACACAATGGGAGAGGAGTAAAACAGGTTGGGGGGGAGAGGAGAGGGTACGTGAAGTCCATTTTCTTGAGCAAAACTGCCCCGCTCTTACAGCCGCTCCAGCCTGTCTGAGGAGTTCAAGGTACAGGCTTGGAGGAGCTCTAGCCCCAGCTAGTGGTATTAGAGTCCCACTGCCAAGACAGACCACAGCAAACACATTAATCATGACCAGGGGAGTGTAAAATTCAATCGGCTCCTTCCATCCATTTCATGTGAAGCAGACTGAAGGCCGGCCTTGTAGTGCCGGAAAAAGGGAGGATGGGGAAAAAAAAGGGGGAGAAAAAAGGGAAAAAAAAGGAGCTCCCTACACTTCATCAGAACCCCCTACTTCATAACAAATGGAGTGTCTCTCCGGCGGAGGAGTGCCATCAGAAATGCGCGGTCTCTCTATCCATTTAATCCCGGCAGCGGAGGAAGGGTCAGGGAGGGAGCAGTGGGCGCGTGTTCTGCTCTCCGCTTGCCGCTTCTCCAGTCACACAGTAAACTACCTTTTAGGAATTGTTTCTCAATAAGAAATGATCAGTCCATTTATCTGCGCCAGGCGGGCCTGTCTCCTCACCCAGACCTCCAATATTTTTCGTTTGACCTGATCAGGGCTATAAACTAGACCGAGACACTTTCAATTTGTCACCCGAGGAGGCCTCTGCAAGTCCCAGGCTACTGATTGCATCCAGCCTCCCAAATATAAAAATTCCTCTGGAGCTTGAAACCTCCTAAGTGTTTTTTTCTTCTCTTTCAAGTACACAGCAGCTCAGAGAAAGAGTCTAAGCAGTGGAAATTGTTCTTGACAATAGAAGACTCTTATAATGTTGTCTTTACAATACACATTTATGCATCAAATGCACAGAGAGCCTTCAAGTATTCATATTGTTTTTACATTTTTGGCTTATTGCAACCTCAAACTTCATTGTGTTTCATCTGGATTTTATGTCCGAGCAACAAGCAGTTGCACCCAAACGTGACATGAAAAGAATATATTGTTTCATTTATTTATTTTTTTTTTTTACAAATGGGAATCTGAAAAGTGTGGCATGCTTGTGTATTCAGCCCCACCTGATTCAATGGGAGAAGCATCAATTAACTTAACATGCTGAAACAAAAATATTTGCCTTCTTCACAAAATAGTTCAAACTCTAACTGGATGATTAGCATCTGTGAACAATTTTCAAGTCTTATCACAGGTTCTAAGTGGGATTTACGTCTAGTACTTTGACTGGGCCACTCTAAGATAAGAATATGTTTTGATTAAATTCAGGCAATTTGTAGCCCTTGGAATGATTTTATGCATAACGGTCAAATTTGACAGCATTGAAGGTTGATTTAAATTTAAAATTTTAAAAACATTTTTGTTGTTCTTTTTATGAGCAAAGTAAAACCTTAAATTGGAAAAATGCTAGGACAACACAAAATCTCTAGTCTTCATCAATCATAATTTTTGCTTGTCTTCTATTTAATAATGACAAAGTACTACAAATATGCATTCACTTTTATTCAGATTTGGGCACACCAATTTTTTTAAGGTTGGCTAATTACAGCCAGCAGTTTCACAGAAAAAAAGACCCAAATCTTTGTTGTTGAAATTAGACAAAGACAAAATTTTGGACCAAAACAAAATTTGGGACATTCCATGATTTTTTTTACTGATGCAAACAATCAAAACTGTTTTGGATTTTGTATCTACAATGATTTGAAGATCCCTCAGACTACTTTGCACTTTTCATTACAATATCTAATGCTTAGTATATTGTCAAGATGATTAGAAAAGTGAATGTACTTTGAACTCAATGATGGTACGTGGCAAAATAGTTTAATAGTAAATTTAATTTATAATGCACTTTTCATTAATAAAAATCTCAAAGTGCTACGTGGTTCATCTAAAAACATAAAATCAACAATCAAAAACAATAAAAAAAAAGACTGTCAAATAAAAGTGGAGAAGGCTTGTCTAAAGAGGAAAGTTTTCAAGCCAGTTTTAAAATCGGACAATGATTGCGGGGCTCTCAAATAGTCCGGGAGAGAGTTCCAATTTTGATCTAATTTTTTTGCACATTTGCGGTGTTCCTTATACATCTTGTGGCATATAAATTAAACATGTTATTGCTGTTTTCTGGATAATCTTTCATAAAGGCTAACTTCATGAAGTATTTGACAAACGGAGTGACAGAATATCCCATTTGAACTGGAATTTCTTCTTTACAATTATGACCTACACTGTGGTGGTCTATCACATAAAATCCAAATAAAGAAAACTAAAGTCTGTCAATTCTAACAACATAAAATATGAAAAAGGTAAAGAGGCACATTTCACTAAAAAGCTACAGATATCTTTGTATGGCTCAACAAGTACAAGAACATAATCCAAAAACCAGTAAAAAAAAAAGCATTCATTACTAATTATTCAGGGTTGAAACATATTAACCAACTTGTTTTCTTTCAAAACATGAACAAACTTTGAACTGGGGATAATTACACTTCACACATGACTTCATCTCCCATCAAGCCCTTTTAAAACAGTTAAACATTCTTTGAATTGGATGGAACATGTCAATGATTTTTTTGACAGCGCTGAAATATGACGAGAAAACGCTGAAGCACACACTCACAACCTGTTCAAACTGCCGCGTCGTTCCGGTCACATGCATGCTATTAATCACCGATGCCTCCGGCTGTCACCTCACATGTACGAGCCTATAGAACACTAATGGGCAACTGAGCAAAGCAGGAAAACATATGTACTAATGTGGCCTTTCTACACTTACTTGTTTTTGTCCTCTGTGCAGATATCAGGTGGATGGAGTCAGGCTTCCCATTGAATAATAATGAGACACATGTATGCAGATCCAGTTCACCCTCAAAAGATTCCTAGAAAAAAAAAAGAAGAAAAGGTGTTCTTAAAGCTTTTTAGGGCATGAAACATTTTGTTGCACTGTATGTCAGCAATCTTAATTGCAAAACCTTAGTTTAACTTTTTATGGCCCGATTAATAAGCCTTACAACTAATCAGTCAATAAAAGTCTAAAGATACAGTAGTTTGGAATAGTCTTAAGATTTTTCCTTTACTGTCAAGTTTTATAACTCTACTGTGCTTTGCAAAAGTTTTTATAGTCTTTTTACATTTTGTCACATTAGACCCACAAACTGATGGATTTTTATTGGGATGTATTGCAATAGAACACAGATTCTGAAATCCATGCCTTTGAAGGCTGGTGTCCTCCAATGTTTAGATGTTTGCCTGGTTCAACACACCTGAAATAAATGATTAAATCATCTCTGCAGTGCAGTTAGGTTCTTTCATTAGCAGGACTCTGATCCAGAGTCCTGCTAATGAAGCAGAGACACATCTAAAAAAGTTGCAGGACACTTGACCTCAAGGACTGGATTTGAGGACCCCTGTGATAAATCAACACAAAGTAGTGCATTATTCTACCTACTCCTAGTGTTTTTTTTTTTTTTTTGGCATCTAATAGTTGTGGGATGCATAAAGACTTGGATAGATTGATCCCAAAACCTGTGCAATCTCTTTTGCTTTCTTCTTTGCTCCGCCCTCCAGGTGATCCCTTTTGGTATTTGTCATTGTTGTGCTGACGGCTTTTTGTTTTCTGTCACACTCCACCAGATTTTCTGCAGTTTTTAAAAATGTTGCTTAGAAACAATTAATCTTGGTCCCGTTTGATCACAGCAACCAGATCCAGTTACATCTTAACTAGCATTTTGCAAATTAGACTAAATATGTACGTTGGAACGATAGGACGGAAAAGCTAATTTTCTGCTACGCTTTCCAGGACATGGCTTGTCATGTAGATACTGTCAAACACTGACTGTCAAGACTTTGCAATTTAAATAGGATATCAGAGTTCAGGAGATATTTCAACATCCCTTAACATCCTCCTCACCGTCACTGTGGTGGCAAAATCAATATGATCCCATTTCGACCCATGGATGGCACAGTTAAACTTGTTTTAATCTTTTTAATTGCCTAAATGTTCATGCATAAGAACATTTAAGCAAGGAGCTATCTTTATGTAGCAATTTCTAAACATCTGAAGATCAAAACATACATAATCAAAAATTACTTTTGCTTTATTAGGACTTTTTAGGGTTACTAACAATTCCACTTCTTTAGTGTAAACACTTTCACTGATGTAATCAAATTAAAGGGGCTTTCTTTCAAAGACATTTCTTCATTGTGACTGATATGTTTTCTCTTTGTCTAACAAGGGTGCAAATAGTTGTGCAGGGTGTAGCATGAAGGGATTTGTCACATGATCTCAGCTCCTATGGGACTGACCTCTGCAAACAAGTCTTACTTTTCTTATAAACAGTCACAGATTAATACATTTAACAGCAAAATAATGGTAAAGATTAGCCTAATCTATTACTAGTACTATTAGTACTATTGCCAACTCTCAAACCACGCAGATCTTTTAGCAAAAATGAGACTTAAAACACAGTAGGTATGTAGATATTTTTGTTTGTTTTTGCAGATGCACTAACTCATATTAAGCACTGCGTCTTGGATAAGGTATGGTAAAACTGTTCTGGAGAAACAACGACATTTGGGACTCACTCAAACAAACAAACAAAAAACAAAAGTGATTAACCAAATCATGTGCCTTTCAAAGGAGTTAATCAGTACAAGACTTCAATTAAAAACACAAAGTGTCTCGTTTAAATCAACGTTTTGTTTTCTCGGTCAAAACAAAGAATTCAGCAACAGGCTGTGGGAAATTAGCTAAATGAAAACGTCCACACCTTTACTCACCAGAAAACAAAGTGTTTCAGCTGCTCTTCATTATTTTACCCTACCAAGTGAATGTTTAGGGACGACTTCTTTTAGGACCCTACCACTTTTGTTGTATGTAGCATATTTAACTACATGGCTGAAGGACCTTAAATTTTCGGGGGTTTTCCTCTAAAGGTTTACTCTTGTTTATTTCTTCAAGATTCACGAATACGCGGGAAATAATATGGTCGAATATCATTATTATTTAAGTCCATCAGGTTTCTTTGAAAATGCGCGACCATTAAACAACAGGCAATATTTAGGCCACACCCAGCCACATCTGACGGTGATTATTGTGTCACACACAACTTCACATCTGAAGACACAGGAAGACATCTGTAAAATACCTATCAGGGATATGATGCAAAAATCAAGTTAAACACTATCAAAATCCTGTTTAACACTAGAAGGTGAATCAGATAATGTTCTTTATTAGAAAATAAAATATCAAGATCACCTTGTAGCAGAAAGGAATTTCTAGGACTTGATGGTTTTAACATATCATTTTTTGTGAATTGCTGTTTGAGACTTATTTGCTCATGTTTTCTGTTTCTTATATTTATT